TCTTCTCTTCTCTTCTCTTCTCTTCTCTTCTCTTCTCTTCTCTTCTCTTCTCTTCTCTTCTCTTCTCTTCTCTTCTCTTCTCTTCTCTTCTCTTCTCTTCTCTTCTCTTCTCTTCTCTTCTCTTCTCTTCTCTTCTCTTCTCTTCTCTTCTCTTCTCTACCCATTTATTATCAAAATTGGATATAGAAATGTAGTATAGGTATGCCCACTAAACATTAATGTTTCAAATAACACTAAACATTAAAAAAGAGCCTATAAAATAAGGCTTTGTACCACTAAACACCTATTCAGACTCTCAATTAAGGAAACCTGATGACGGCACATTATTTATCACTTTTTACAGTAGTACATGCAACTATCAAGGATAAAATGGAGATTATAACGATGTTTTACTATATTTATTCAGCTACGTAATGTATTCATTGTCTACTCGCCAAAACAAAACCCCTCAAAAATAGATTACCTCATAGTTATCAATAACGTAGCCTCGACTTGACCTGCGTCAGCTATTGGTTGGTCACACCCTCTTGATAAATGCTTACTTGCAAATGTTTCTCTTACATCAAGACTGTCTGACTTGGCTGCGTCGGCTACGATTCTCAAAGATGCAAAAACATTAGAAATTGGTGCAAAATGGTGACCTAAACGACAGACAGGTAAACTGAGTTTATTGATATTTATAGTTAAGGTAGTTTTGGTGACATGAATTACTTCCTACACACTAGTAATAGTACTGAAGTTGCAGAGAGAAAGGCAGATGTGCCATCAGTCACAAACCGATCGATAAAACAGTAGTATATAAAAGCCAGCATCAACGATGGATAACTGTTTAGTATAAAGATGGTTGTGATAGCATTAAAAAGTTCGTTCAACAGTAGTCATCCGCTACGACGATCACTGAACTTGCAGACGGACAGCTCTCATATAATATTCATTATTACTTCGGAATTTCTCTTTGTTGGTCATTCTAACTGTTGTTTCGCTTTCTTGACAATCTATGTATGCTTTATTTCAATGCAACAGCGAGCTTCACAAAATTTCAGTAGCGACGGATGAAGCCATCCGAAAACTTTGGGGAATGAAAAGATAAATATACCTATCGCTAGTCAGAAACATCTTAAATGGAAATACAAGTAATATTTTGAAAAGGATCTCTGGCATGTTTTGAAAGTATTTACACCCGATTTCAAATGAGTGCGAACTCTCGAATTTTTTTTGAACGCTAAACTTTCACTCGACCGTCATTCACTCGACCACTTGGTAACCAGGCACACGTGTATAGTAAGTGATGCGTGATTTTCCGCTGTAGCGGGACTTTCGCATTTAGAATTATGGAGGAAGAATCGGTGGTCTTTGTTCGAGATATCTGTGGTCCTTGTGTTTCCCAGAACATTCTACTTCACTCAATGCAATTGAGAACAATTAGAAGAAAATCAACTAAATTTGATTTAAAAATATAGTTTTTTATCTGATTTGTAGTTTAAATTTGGCTTTATTAACTTTTCTAAAATACTTAGGATACTACGCGCCGAAAACCATGTTTGATTACAGTATCAAAACACGCTCGTGCGCGTCAAAAATTTCTTTTATTCTTTTAATTTTAGAAAAGAAATAAAAGACGAAATTCCGTGTTTGACACTCTAATCAAAACACTTGGGATGTAGGGAGAGCACTCGAAAAGCTGGAAACCACTCCGCTACGCGTCGTGGTTTCCTACGCTTCTCTCGTGCTCTCCCTACATCCCGCGTGTTTTGATCAGAGTATCAAACACGGAATTTCGTCTTTTATTCCTTAAGTAAACATCAAATGCATGCAAATAATACTTTGCACAATTAGGTATAGCTTTGCAAGAACCATGAAMTTGAGGGTGTTGTTTTCTGCATCTTGAAAAGATATTCTCATGTTGAACTAAAATAAACATTTTTCTTTTCTTTCGTTATGTAAACAATTTTTAAACTTAAAAGTTTACAATAAAAAAATTATCAAGCAAGCGAAAAAATAATTGCAACATTGTTGTTTAAATTAAAGGYTGAAAACGAAGTAGCTTATGTTTAAATGTAACCTTCTTTCGAAGAAGTAAGTATATTCTTATTCGTATTACTGTAAAAACCCTGATTGATCTTGAATACAAGTTTACAATTACACTTACATGTGTATGTACAGAAACATTTCCTGTACGTTTATAAAGTTGTCGAATTTTTCAAACAAACGTTTTCCCTACAAATAACGCTCTACAAGTTTCCTTAATGCTTGAACCGTAAATACGTTCATGGTAAATACCCTTCCACCGAATATCGTCCAATAACCTCTTCATTTTAATCAGTAAACTAGTAAAATCAACAAAGAACAGCCTACGAACACTAAAAGCGATTTAAAGTGCGCGCGCTTGTCAGTGTTTGTCACGCTATTTATTTTTCAACTATTTCGTTGTAATTGTGAGCTGAGAAAGTTAAGTAAACCGAAACTAGTTTTTACAATAAGTTCGTTTTGTAGTGCGATCACAAACTGTAGGAATTTACAGACAGACATACATTAACCATGGTTTTTATACTTGGATAATTTTACCCGCTTCAAGCTGTGCCAGGTTACCAAGTGGTCGAGTGAATGACTGTCGAGTGAAAGTTTAGCGTCCGAAAAAAAATTCGAGAGTTCGCACTCATTTGAAATCGGGTGTAAATGATATTATCTTTTTGGTCTTTTTGGTATAGATCAACTTAGAAATGAATGTAATATTTAAGTACATTCGAACCGTTTTCAAGCATAGAGGTATTTTGAGTTGGCGGTGATATCATACTGAGGTTAATGACGTAATACCATGATCACCTCGGATTCTTTTGTCTTCCGAGGGATGTTTACAAGCGAACATCCGTCCCTCATGAATAGTTGACTTTCGTGATMTCTTTTACGCTGTGTTAGCCTCAGTTGTGTGCTAAAATATTCATAAAATGTAGATAAAACTCGTGAGATTTCAAACTATTCCCATTTTCTTCTATACTCACGAATCTCTTGCAATTTGCACGGGCTGTTGTGAATAAAAGAATTTATTACATGGTTTTGAGGCTAGCACAGCGTAAAAGAGATTGCTAAAAGGGTTTATARCATGAGGGACGATTACTAGTAATCGTCCCTCAAGCATAATAACATGAGGGAAGATTAGACTAAATGTCCCTCATGTTATTCATGAGGAACGGATATGGAAGGCAAAGGTTTCCTTTGCTTCCTAGTTGTCTTCTTTTTACCTCTGCAATGAACGGTCTCGTTATCGTCTCAGTCACACTGAAATGTGGGATGATTTGTGGGCCAAACTGACCGAGTAGCTCTGGTTCCGAGTCACTACTTCGTACCGCTGAGCATGTGCACTTGACGAATTTCAATGTTTGATAATAGTTGATAAGAATTTTGTCCATTATACTTGCAAACATAAAACAACTTTTGGCGTTGAAGTTAAGGTTTGTGAACTTCAGCATTGAATAGAACTGAAAGTCAATTGTTCGTTGTAGGAAATCAGTAACAATGGTCGGATTACCAATATCATTTTGTACTGTTGTTCTGCCAAAACCTTTTAAATGACACAATAAAGTACTTGATTCTCTTAGAACAGTGCGTATCCATTATTTTCATGTCACATTCCAATTCATGCATGAATTGCTTGTTGCAATGTTTATATTACTTCTGATTGAAAACATTGGAGCATGCCAAAAAACAAGAAATCAAATTCGCTCAAGTTCAACTTCAATTTTTTCCTCGGAAATCATGGTATTACAAAGTAATAGAGAAAGGAAGGGAAGAAATGAAATAAAAATGGAAGAGCAAACAACTTTTAAGTTAGAATTTAAGTTAAAGTTTAAGTTTAAAATTTAAAGTTTAAAATTTAAGGTAAAGTTTAACTTTTAAGTTTTATTAAAATAACTAAATAACTGTAGAAGTAAAAGGGGGGTTATAAAGAAAAAAATGGATAGGTGAATGAATAAARGCTAAATAATGAAGATGAAATTGAAAGTGTGTATGGGAATGGACAGGCGGGGAGAAGAATAAATAGACGAAATGATGAAGAAACGCGAGGAGAAGAAAATGTATAAAAGAGTTAGCATCATTAGTTGTAAAGGGATAAAAATAGAAACATGAAAAAGTGAGTTTTATTTTGAGTTTTTAGACCGAGAGGGGACTGAGAATTACATTGGTCACTTAAAATACGGCGTCTAAATCATTTAAGTCGACTAAAATGGGAGTTGTATTCGACACATGTGAAGTTCGGCGTATAGCGCGGGCCTTATCATAACAACTATTATAAATATTGAAAGAATAAACGATGTTCACTRGAGTATGGCGGAACATGCGCATACCATTCTCCCAGCTGCTCATTAATTATTGATGAGGGAAATTTAGTTTCTAAATTGCACTCATAAATGATTAATGAGGGCAATTTAGAAACTRAACTGCATGCCCTCATGTTATTCATGAGGGAGGGATGTTAGGATGCCCCTACAAAGACAATGGATACCGAGGTGATCATGGTATTATTCCGGTTTGAATCAAATTGTCAATATGCGTCTGGTTATTTCCWCGGAAATCATAGTATCACAAAGTAATACCACTGAGGGATATTAGGGATTAAATGTCCCCGAGGCCGAGGAGAAATAGTGGAAGTCCCGAGGTCGCTAACGTCCGTTAAATCTGTGTGCTTTTCAAAAGACTGATATCAATACTTTTTCAAAGAACATGAACTAGGGCAATTTTTCCTAGCATATTAACAAGTTTTGTATATCTCTGGTTTAAAAGCAACCTTACTAATAATTGGTACGACTGTCAAGCACTACATCACCCTTAATAATATTTTAGTGATGTGTGAAATCTCAAATATATTTTAACATTAATGAATATTGACAATATTAAGACGTACGTAATCGACAACTCCGTCTTGTACATTTCTATCGATTGCCAGCGAAATTCTATGCTTCAAAATCAAGTTACGTATAAACTTCCTAGTTAAAAACACCGCCAAACACGTCACTTGTAACAATAAATATATCTTTTATTTCCATAAATAACAGATCAAATGGAATACTCAGATGAACATCTCAACTTCTTCAGGCTCTGTCACATCGTCTTTGATATCGTCCCTGAAGGTCTGAGAAAGATCTTTAAACAAGAATGGGATGCTTTATACACAACTGCGCATGGTCAGTGGGATGACACGCCTGTTAGTTATGCCTCTTTTTACAGTATGGAGTCACCAGGGAGTCGAACGAGAAACAGACGTCTTCTAAGTTTGATGTCTAATGGAAACAGAGGTGATCATGGTATTATTCCGGTTTGAATCAAATTGTCAATATGCGTCTGGTTATTTCCACGGAAATCATAGTATCACAAAGTAATACCACTGAGGGATATTAGGGATTAAATGTCCCCGAGGCCGAGGAGAAATAGTGGAAGTCCCGAGGTCGCTAACGTCCGTTAAATCTGTGTGCTTTTCAAAAGACTGATATCAATACTTTTTCAAAGAACATGAACTAGGGCAATTTTTCCTAGCATATTAACAAGTTTTGTATATCTCTGGTTTAAAAGCAACCTTACTAATAATTGGTACGACTGTCAAGCACTACATCACCCTTAATAATATTTTAGTGATGTGTGAAATCTCAAATATATTTTAACATTAATGAATATTGACAATATTAAGACGTACGTAATCGACAACTCCGTCTTGTACATTTCTATCGATTGCCAGCGAAATTCTATGCTTCAAAATCAAGTTACGTATAAACTTCCTAGTTAAAAACACCGCCAAACACGTCACTTGTAACAATAAATATATCTTTTATTTCCATAAATAACAGATCAAATGGAATACTCAGATGAACATCTCAACTTCTTCAGGCTCTGTCACATCGTCTTTGATATCGTCCCTGAAGGTCTGAGAAAGATCTTTAAACAAGAATGGGATGCTTTATACACAACTGCGCATGGTCAGTGGGATGACACGCCTGTTAGTTATGCCTCTTTTTACAGTATGGAGTCACCAGGGAGTCGAACGAGAAACAGACGTCTTCTAAGTTTGATGTCTAATGGAAACAGAGAGAAGTGGGACTGTACAAGTTTGTTTCATGCAATACTGTTCTCAGGCAGCGTGGGATCCAACATAAGACCTGTGGTGAAAACTAGTGTGGATGATCTTCGTGAAATTCGCAATGAAGTAGTGGCACACAAAAACGTTGGAAAGCTGAATGATGTGGAGTTTAAAATGTCCATTCAAAAGATCAAAGTAGCACTCTCTTCGTTAAATCTTGATACAACAATAATCAAGAAAACAGAAAAACGGGCTGATTTTATAACACAAGAACAAATAAATAAAATCAAAAAAGAGTTGGAAACAATCAGAAAAGAGTCCGAAGAAATCAAAAAAGAGTTAGAAGATGAAAAGCGACGTAATACAGAACCGAAATCGTTTTGTGTGCTGCCTCCTCAGCCCTCTCATGATACTATGGAACGAACTAAAGAGGTTGACGATTTATTCCAAGCGATGCAACAATTATCAATTGAAAAAAATGGAGAGACGACCACTGTTTACTTGTCTGGGAATCCAGGTTCTGGGAAGAGCGTAATGGCAAGGCAAGTCGGACAGAAGTACTACGATAGTGATGACTCCAAAGAGACATTAAGATTCGTGATGACTCTTAATGCCTCTACAATGGACACACTGCTCATCTCATACGTAATGTTCGCTGAGAGATTAAACTGCTATCAAGACTGCATAACGAGCATTACTACATCAAAAGAACTTTCCAAAGAAGATCAAATTCTCCAACTAAAAGCCCTTGCTAACAAACAAGTGACCAAGTATTCATCATGGCTGATTATTGTAGATAATGTTGTCGATCTTAAATCGTTTTCTCAATACTGGCAACAAAGCGGAGAAAAGACAAGTGGTAAGGGACAGATTCTTGTCACCACACAAGATAGTCCCTCCATTGGTGTCAGCTCGTACTACCATCACATTTCAATCAGTTCTGGTATGACAGAAAACGATGCAATTGAACTACTGCAAAAAGTATCAGGCCATAGATCTGAGGACAATAATATCATGCTGGAAGTTTCCAGAGCCTTGGACTTCCAGCCACTTGCTTTATCCTCAACAGCAGTTTACATGCGAAGTGTTCGCACCATTAACAAACAGTACTCGTGGCATCAATGTCTGGAGAAGCTAGTGAAGGAGCGAGAGAGATTAGAAAAAGTTTATGAGAGAACAAGCTTGACCTACAAAACAACCATGACTGCTGCAGTAAATTTAGCTCTACAGAGAGAAATGATTGATGAGATAATGTTTCATGCATTTCATTTTCTATCCGTGATGGCTGCAGATCCAATCCCTTTGATGTATGTTGTGGAGTACGTGGTAAAGTGCCTGCCTGATGAAGATAGAAATTATGTTGCTTCAAGAATTTGTTCTTCATCTTTAGTATTGTCATTGACGCAGGAAGCAAAGGAAATTAGCATCCATCAAGTAGTTTACCACTGTTTACAGACCAACCCAAAGATAACAGAACGCAAGGTGAACATTTTTACTGTGATTTCTGCATTTCATTCACTTCCAAATATGAGTGAGGAAAAAAAACAAGTTGATAATTTGATTGCTACTAGACCACTTTTAAACCACTTMGTAAAAATCTCAAAAGGAATTTTTGATTTCGTCATGAATGATATTGAAAGCGAGAAGGGACTCAATGATCAAACAATGGAAGTTCTTAATAACTTGTCGAATGTTTTAGAAGAACACAACATTTTTGAGAACGCAAAACATTTATGTCAAGTGCTTTTAGCTTTACAAACATCTAAACCCCCGTCATCAAAGGCACGAGAAATATTGATCTTGTTGAAAGATGACCACATTAAATATATCTCAAGTCTTAATCAAAATGAAATTAATCCATTGGTAAGTAACACTTTGAACAACTTAGGCACTGTATATAAAGAATTAGGCCAATTACAGGAATCAATT